TATTCCTAAAATTGGTCACCAACACAAAAGACCAAAAGCATCAGAGCTTATTCTAGCTTGATTCTTCATTACCTAGCTTTCACCTCCTTAAAATGTGACGGAAATATCATAGACAATTGTTATATTTGTACCTATAGACTGCTGTAAGTGGATGTGACTTCTGAATATCACGAGTTGTGTTTCTCCAGAATGAGCTGTCTTCTATTTGGGTTTTAAGTCTTTCCAATGGCATGCTCTTGTTTTTTTGTGACTGTAACTTGCCACCTCATTGTTGGCTATCATTTTTTTTTTATGTTCTCCATATTTTCAAGCATAACTGTCTTTACCAGTGAGTTGGTTCTTCTCATAATACAGTATGTACTAGAACAAGGCAGCTTCATTTTAGTCATTTTGGATTCTAGAAAAATATTGAGCCTGATTTGTTTAAAGATCCATTCATTTGTTTTCCTTGCTGTCCACAATATTCTTAAAATTGCTCATCAACATAAAAGATAAAAGGCATCAATGCTTATTCTAGGTTGCTTCTCCATTGCCCAGCTTTCACATCCAAACAACGTGACAGAAATACCGAAGCCTAGACCAGCCTTTCTCAACCTTTGAACAAGAAGGAATCCTTGAGATTACTTTCTGGTCTCAGGGAACCCTGCTAAAAATGACTAAAATTACAACTCATAACACATTAGTGTGATGATCGGTGGGAATAATGCTCCTTACACATTGGACATTGGGAAGAATTACCCCCTTGCAGATAGATAAAAGGTCAATGATGTGAGAGGGAACATATCTGAAAAGCAGAGATTGCTCATTGCTCAAGGAACTCCTGGCAACCTCTGGAGGAACCAGGGGCGGACTGACAACTCATGGGGGCCCCCCGGTCAATAGGGGATCATGGGGCCCCTGTGTCCTTGCCCAAACTCAAAAAAAACCTATGAAAAAGTTACCAAGGCCATCTCATGGGGCCCCCTACTGACCCCGGGCCCTCGGGCAGTGCCCGAGTTTCCAAATGGTCAGTCCGCCCCTGGGAGGAACCCTAGAGTTCCACAGAGCCCAGGTTGAGAAATCCCAGCCTAGACTATTGTGAACTTTGTACCTATAAACTGCTGCAGGTCATAATACCTTCTGGAGATTACGTGAGTAGTGTTGCTCCAGAATGATCTGTATTCTGTTTGGGTTTTACATCTTAACAATGGCATGTTCTTGCTGTTTTTTTGTGACTGTATCTGGCCACCTCATTGCTGGATGTCCTCTTTATTATATTCTCTACATTTTCAAGCATAACTTTCTTTTCCAGTGAGTTAGTTCTTTTCATAATATGTTCAGAACACAGCAGCCTCATTTTAGTCATCTGGGATTCTAGAAAAAGATTGAAACTGATTTGTTGAACGATCCATTAATTTAAATTCTTTGCTATCCACGTATTCCTAAAATTGGTCATCAATAGAGAAGATCAAAGGCATTGATCCTTATTATAGCTTGCTTTTTCATTGGGCCACATCTAGCCCCCGACTCACAGTTTGGAGACAACTGGCCTAGATAATTGTGCCTATAGACACATCAGTACATTTGAATATTTTTTTGTAGGTCTTTCACCCATGCTCCTCCAAGTGCCAATCTGTCGTATTTCTTGTGTGCTAGATCCTTTGTTGTTAATAACTAATACAAAGAGGCAAAAGCTGTATTATATATCTATTTCTTCACCACTACAGTAACTCCCCTTCCTGCTGCCTTAACATTACTTTCTTCATATTTAGCTGAAGTCCCATCTTTTCACTTTATTATTTGGTCACATATGCCACCTCACTTCAGTTAATTATGGAGGGAGACTGAAGGGTAATATTACCTTGAACCTAGTGAGTATAGGAGGCAGAGAAGGAACAGATGGGAGATAAGGGGATAACGGTAGCTAAACTTGGACTTGAGGATCGGAGTGGAAAATACTGCTTGGTAATTGGTGTCAGGCCAGCAGCATAAGGAGGCAGAATAGAAGTTGATCAGATGGTGAAGGAAGCAAAGGCGTAGTAGCTGACCATGATTCATTGGGAGGGGGCTGAGAAGACAGCTTTGGAGCTGGCGGGGAAGGAAACAGATAGGAGGCATAAAAGAGTGAATAAAGGAAGAAAGTAGATGATCATAAAGGAAGAAAGTAGATGATCATGGATAAGGAGAGAGAAAGAGCAGACAGTTTGTGAGCAGATCAGCAATGGAAAAATGGAAGAGTGGAGGCACAGAAGAGATGTGACCATGAACCAGGGGATAGAGGAGCCTGCATGTGATATGATCATAGACCATTGGGATGGGTAGAATGGGGCTGATTGTGGACAGAGGAGAGAGAGGCGTAATGATTGTTGCTGATGAATGGACGCAGATATGGTATATTGAACCCTAAACCAAAAATGTAATTTATTACAGCTTACCAATCATTCAATGTGGTGGTTGCATTTTTTTTTTTATTATTAGGTCAGCACAGTGGCTAAATGGTTAGCCCTTCCGCCTAGTAGCACTAAGGTTGTTGGTTCAAATCCCAGCCATGGCACCTCCTGCCTGGAGTTTGCATGTTCTCCCTGTGCCTGCATGGGTTTCCTCCCACACTCCAAAGACATGCTGGTAGGTTAATTGGATCCTGTCTAAATTGGCCCCTGTTTATGAATGTGAGTTAGGGACCTTAGATTGTATGCCCCTTGAGGGTTAGGGACTGATGTGAATGTACAATATATATGTAAAGCAGTGTGTAAATTGACGGCACTATATACGTACCTGAAATAAATAAAATACACCTCCTGAATTAGATTTCCCCCAGCTCTGAATGAAGGAGCACAGGGGGCACCTTTGGGGTAGGGAAGTGTTAGATGTACTAGCAGATTTAGATACACTAACACATTGCAGTAGGACTCCAGCTAATACTTTATAATCAGTTATAAAATAGTTTCTTTTTCCTTTTGAGATACATGTTTAACATAAATAGATAAAAGCTGGTCATTTTAAACACCCCTGCCAGTGGTAAATGGTCTATCTCATCCATGTAACTGCAAGATAGCTTTTCTGTTAAAAAAACAACAGACTTACTGGCTGGATCAAAGGTGAAAATAAAGGAAATAAAGCATAAAAAAGAAAATTAACACAGCCATCACATCTATGAATTGGTAAAATGCAATATAATAATGTTTGCTTTTGGGTTTTTGGGTTTAATACTCAGAATAGGGCTCTAGCTAAGGTAGCTAGTTTGTAGTGAAGAGAGAGAAGTCAGGAAGGATGCTAATCAAGGATTGAGGGAGAAGCAGGGGCGGACTGACCATTTGGAAACTCGGGCACTGCCCAAGGGCCCGGGGTCAGTAGGGGGCCCCATGAGATGGCCCTGGTACCTTTTTCATAGGCTTTTTTGAGTTTGGGCAAGGACACAGGGGCCCCATGATCCCCTATTGCCTGGGGGCCCCATGAGTTGTCAGTCTGCCCCTGGGGAGAAATCATGTATGAATTATGAATTGTCATCCCCCTGTTGAAGCAATCCATACATGGCATATTTCAAAGTGGTATTAAACCCAAAACTACATCTATTATATTGCATCTTACCAATTCATAGATGTGATGACTGCATTAGTTTTCTTTTTTTAGGGATTCTTTCCTTTAATTTTACCTGGTGATCTGCCCAGTAAGTCTGTTGTTTTTAAACAGAACAAACTCTCCTCCAAATGTATCAGTTAAGAGTGTTGAGAAAAACCAGGAATGGTCCATACACAATAGACAGCAAATAAAATGGCAGAACTGCTTGCAGAAAAAAGCAGCATACAAAACATTCCTACAGAGCATATTGTACATGGTTTAGATGCGTTTAGGTGCGTTTAGGCATGTTTGCATTTATAATCTTTTTTTTTCCCAAAGCACTAGAAAAAAAACAGTTCAAAATGGTTGAAGCGCCTAAATGCTGTGTTTAAGCACATTTATGTGCATTTTTTCTGGCTGAAGGCGCCTCTCCAAAACCGTACATGTGATATTTTGTTTCCTCTACAAATCTGTCTGTAAACACCCTCATGTGTATGGACACATAGGCTAACAGAGTTGCTTCTACAGGCTGAAAGGAAAAATGCCAAATGCCCGTGTAAGAAGCATTTTTTATGCCCAGTGTGCATGAGGCCTTACCACTGACAGGGGTACTTACAATGATCAGCTTTTATTCCATGTAAAACCTTTATCCCTAAAGAAAAATACTGCTTACTGTAACTGCTTGTGTAACTGCAGTGTGAGCTGGAGTTTGGATTCAATGTGTTAGTGTACCTAAATCTGCTAGTCCGTCTAACACGCCCCTTTCCCCAGACTAACAATGCTACTATCCAAAGGTGCCCCTGTGCTCCTTCATCCAGAGTGGGGGCACTCTAATACAGGTGGTGTGTTACTGGCCAGATCACCAGGTGAAAGCAGAGGGGAAAAAAAAACCTAAAAAAAAAAAACAAATGCAGCAACCACACAGGGTTCGGAAAAGGGGTTGGCAGGAGGGGTGGCTGCCCCTGTTAGGTGGGGGGCACAATGAAGAGATTGGGGGGAAGGGATTTGTGTTGGGAGGAGAAATGTGGGGGGAAGCAGGGGGTAAGAATGGTTCTAGGAGGGGACATTTGGAGAGTTGTGCTAGGAGTGGTATTTTGGGGGGATTTGTGTTGGGAGGGAGAAAGAGTATTTGTGCTAAGAAGGGGGATTTGGAGGGTTTGTGTTAGAAAAGGTGATATGGTAGAAGGGGGAAGGGATTTGTGCTAGTAGGGATGATTGAGGAGATTTGGGGAGGAGGATTTGTGTTAGGCTGGGGATTTGGGGGAGGAGAATTTGTGCTGGGAGGGGGGATATGGAGAGGAGAAGGAAGAGGATTTGTGCTCAGAGAGGAAATATGAGGGGTAGTGGAATTGTGCTAGGAAGGGGATTTTTTTTTTTTGGGGGGGGGGTTGTGCTGGGGGGATGGAGGGACAAAGAAGGGATTTCCATAGGGGTGTGGATTTGCACTGGGAGGAGGGGAATTTATGCTTAGGGGAGTAATTATGTAGATTAGTACTCAACTTATTTTGCTCATGCATAGAAATACACAGCAGCACATTCCGTTAAACAGCACACAGTTAACTCTTTGATTGCCCCAGATGTTAACCCCTTCCTGTCCAGTGTCATTAGTACAGTGTCAGTGCTTTTCATTAGCACTGATCACTGTATTAGTGTCATTGGGATGTCTGTGGAAGTTAGTCAGTTCCCCCCCCCGTGTCAGAATGCCCGCCGCAGTCCCGCTATAAGTCACTGATCGCTGCCATTACTAGTATAAAAAAATAAAAATTCCAGTATGTATACCACCATTTGTAGACACTATAACTTTCACTTTCATTTACACGTATTGGGATTTTTTTTAGCAAAGACATGTAGCAGAATACATTTTGGCCTAAATTTATGATGAAATTTGATTTTTTTTTTTTTACTGGACATGTTTTATAGCAAAAAGTCAAAAATAGTGGGTTTTTTTTTCAAAATTGTCAGTCTTTGTTTGTTTATAACGCAAAAAATAAAAAATACACAGGTGATCAAATAACACCTAAAGAAAGCTCTATTTGTGGTGAAAAAAAGGACATAAATTTAATTTGAGGTGCAAAGTTGCATGACTGCGCAATTGTCAGTTAAATTAACGCAGCGTCATATCGCAAAAAATGGCTGGTCAGGAAGGGGGGTAAATCTTCTGGAGGGCAAGTGGATGCATTGTCAGAGTATTGACACCTTATTAGACAACAAGGACGATCATGGTAAGATCACTAGGTACTGTTTGAGACGTTGAGATTTGTTTGGTGTTTATTTCTTTCAGCCTGTAGAAGCAGCTCTACGTTAGCCTATGGGGGAGATTTACTAAAACTGGTGCACACAGAATCTGGTGCAGCACTGCATAGTAACCAATCAGTTTCCAGGTTTTCTTGTCCAATTACATAGTAATCCAATTACATAGTTAGTCTGGCTGAAAAAAGACAAAAGTCCATCCAGTTCAACCATTATAAAAAAAAGTTATAATCCTACACCCACAGTTGTTCCTGAGGAAGGCAAAAAAAAACCCAGCAAAGCATGACCAAATTGTCTCCTGCAGGGAAAAAAATTCCTTCTGAGAGGCAATCGATATTCCCTGGATCAACTTTACCTATAAATGTTATATCCAGTTATATTCTGTGTATCCAAGAAACAATCCAGGACTTTTTTAAAGCAATCCACTGAGCTGGCCAGAACCAACTCTTGAGGGAGTCTATTCCACATTTTCACAGCTCTCACTGTGAAGAAACCTTTCTATGTTTGGAGATTAAATTTCTTTTCCTCCAGACATAAAGAGTGCCCCCTTGTCCTCTGTGATGACCTCAGGGGAATAACTCTACACCGAGTTCAATATATGAACCACTGATGTATTTATACATGGAGATCATATCCCCCCCTTATGTATTATACATGGTGATCATAACCCCCCTTATGTAATTATACATATCCCCCCTTATGTATTATACATGGTGATCATATCCCCCCTTATGTATTATACATGGTGATCATATCCCCTCTTATGTATTATACATGGAGATCATATCCCCTCTTATGTATTATACATGGAGAATATCCCCCCTTATGTATTATACATGGAGATCATATCCCCCTTATGTATTATACATGGAGATCATATCCCCCCTTATGTATTATACATGGTGATCATATCCCCCCTTATGTATTATACATGGTGATCATATCCCCCCCTTATGTATTATACATGGTGATCATATCCCCCCTTATGTATTATACATGGTGATCATATCCCCCCTTATGTATTATACATGTTGATCATATCCCCCTTATGTATTATACATGGAGATCATATCCCCCCTTATGTATTATACATGTTGATCATATCCCCCCTTATGTATTATACATGGTGATCATATCCCCCCTTATGTATTATACATGGAGATCATATCCCCCCTTATGTATTATACATGGTGATCATATCCCCCTTATGTATTATACATTATCATATCCCCCCTTATGTATTATACATGGTGATCATATCCCCCTTATGATTATACATGGAGATCATATCCCCCCTTATGTATTATACATGGAGATCATATCCCCCCTTATGTATTATACATGTTGATCATATCCCCCCTTATGTATTATACATGGTGATCATATCCCCCCTTATGTATTATACATGAAGATCATATCCCCCCTTATGTATTATACATGGAGATCATATCCCCCTTATGTATTATACATGGAGATCATATCCCCCTTATGTATTATACATGGTGATCATATCCCCCCTTATGTATTATACATGTTGATTATATCCCCCTTATGTATTATACATGGAGATCATATCCCCCCTTATGTATTATACATGGTGATCATATCCCCCCTTATGTATTATACATGGAGATTATATCCCCCTTATGTATTATACATGGAGATCATATCCCCCTTATGTATTATACATGGAGATCATATCCCCCCTTATTTATTATACATGTAGATCATATCCCCCCTTATGTATTATACATGGAGATCATATCCCCCCTTATGTATTATACATGGTGATCATATCCCCCTTATGTATTATACATGGTGATCATATCCCTCCTTAATCTCCTCTTCTCAAGAGAGAATAAATTCAGTTCCTCTAATCTTTCCTCATAGCTGAGCTCCTCCATGCCTCGTATCAGTTTGGTTGCCCTTCTCTGTACTTTCTCCAGTTTCCCCAATGTTCTTTTTGTGAATTGGTGCTCAAAACAGAACTGCATATTCCAGATAAGGTATCACTAATGATTTGTACCGGGGTAAATGATATCTCTCTCTCTGGAGTCTATACCTCTTTTAATACAAGAGAGGATTTTGCTTGCTTTAGAAACCGCAGCATGGCATTGCATGTCATTATCAAGCTTGTGATCTACTAGAACCCCCAGATCCTTCTCCACCATTGACTCCCCCAGTTGTACCCCCCCCCCCAGTATGTATGATGCATGCACATTCTTAGCCCCCAAGTGCAGAACCTTACATTTATCAACATTAAACCTCATTTGCCACATAGTTGCCCAATTAAACAGTGCATAGAGGTCGGCTTGTAAATTGGAGACATCCTGTAAGGACGTTATTCCACTGCACAGCTCGGTGTCATCTGCAAAGACTGAAATGGGATTTATAATCCCAGACCCTATATTGTTTATAAATATATTAAAAACTAAGGGTACCAACACTGAACCTTGTCAAAGCTTAATTAAACAAGCTGAAGTTAGAAGCTGATTGGTTACTATGCACAGTGTGTGATTTGTAAGGGGGTAAAAAAGGCAACTGCCCCAGGCCCCCTTGACAGAAGAGTCCTCCTCTATACAAAAGTATTATAAAACAATATGAAAAAAATAAAGTAATAAAAAAAAATAATAATTATAAAATACAGTAGGTAATAAAAAAAATACTTTCTTTAATTAAATGTATCTTTGGAAGTAATATTTTGCCTGGCATAATCTGTTAAAGGTTTTACGTTGGGCTAGTATGTTGCATCATTTTTAAAAAATAATTTTGGAAGCTCAAGTGAACCACACATAGAATGCTTACACTCTTAAGGAAAATAGCCTATGCGTGCATATGTGTGTGTGCATGCGTGACCTCTGAATGACATTGTATCATTTTGAAAATGTATGAGAGAGAAAACCAACTTTGTGTATGAGGGGCCCCCTGGTCTAAATCTGGCCCTGACTATGCACAGCTGCACCAGATTTTGCTTGCACCACTTTTAGTAAATTCCCTCCTATATGTCCATACACATTTGAGCATTTAGAGGCATATTTGTAGAGAAGCATTAAGGCTGGCCATAGATGAATTGTTAGCCTATAAATGAAAAATCCGTTGTTGCCGATGCTGCCACCAATATCTACGAAAAATGGCAGTTTTTCGTGGATTTTCCAGCATGACCGATGAAAAGAAACAAGAAGATCCACGAAAAACGGCCGACAACATTGCCCCACTAACGGCGTGAATATTGGCCGATTTTTCATGCTGACGAAAATTCGGCTGATAAAGGACCCGTCTATGGCCTGCATTACAGGCTAGAAAAAAACAAATCACGAGTGCGTTTTTAAGAGGAGCTTTTATGCAGAAAAAATGTTTGGCACACAGAAACATGCCTAAACGCTGCATTTAGGTGTGTCAAGCGTTTTTAAGTGTACATTTTTCTATTGTTTTAAGAAAAATGCTTATAAACACCCATAAATGCACTTAAATGTGTATACAGTATACTCCATAGGAGCATTTTTTTATGCTTCTTTTTTTGCCAACAGTTTTGGCATTTTCTACTGCCTAGTGTGCATGGACCCTGATGGAATACCATATATTAAAATAATACTGAAAATGATTAACATGTTAAAAGCTTGTATGAGATTTTAGTGACTTGGCTTACACATAGGTTAAAGAGTAGGTGGGATTGTACCTAGAGGCCTCTGAGCTATAAATCTGACCCTTTACAGATGGTAATGTACAGTGGTAATTCTTTCCTCGTTAGCATATTTATATTGTGTTTGAACAGCAATGTGCAATGCTAATGTATGTATACACAATATAAAAGTGTAAAAAGCTCCAAGTGAAAAAGCTTTTGCTCTGCTATGGAGTACATGCTGCATATTTTGCTATTGTAAAAAAAATAATGATTACTCAGTACAATAAAATACACATATACTGTATAATTTCAACAAACCTGTAGTTACAATTTAAAACAGAATCACTGGACTGTACTGGTTTCAGCCAGTGCTCATCAACATTTACGGACTGTTTAGAATATCATTCATCTGAAGGTGTATTTAAAGCTTAGTGAACAAAAATTACATTTCTATTTTTACCGTGTGAAAGTTTCATATTTTATATTTCAATGTTAGTGACTGTAACAGATTAAGCATTTAAGATCAGCTCTTAGCAATGTAGCAGCAAACTGGCTGTGCTGGGTAAAGGAAGGCTCGGAGGAAGAAGACCTGAACGAAGGGCCGACATGACGGGGTTAAAGGGGGGTTGGGAGAGGCAGAGTCCCATTAGCAAAAGGGGAGTCTAAATAGTTTTAACCTCCCTGGCGGTATGATTATTTCAGATTTTTGGTGCTGAAAGCGTTACCATTATTTTGCATGGAA